ATACCTTATAAATGTATTGTTCCTTTTTTTTAACCTAAACATGTTTAATCTCCAAATCATAATTTCTCCATCTTTGCTTATTTGAAATAATAAATAATACATTTGATGACACATTGACACTTGATGATATGGATTTAAAATCAATTTTTTTGACTAAGCGATCCATAGAAGTAAAAATTAGAAACTTGAATAATATTATAAGAAAATAAATTTGGTTCACCATAGACGTAATTAAAACTAATGTTTTTGTTAATTGATGAATTAAAGATTTTTTTATGTATTTTATATGTTATAGTCTTTTGCTATCCTGGAACGTTATATCCTTCACTCAGAAATGTTTATTTGTCCACAGTAGAAAATCTTTATCTTACCCACTTGAAGATAATCTTACTTACGATTCTCACATTTGGATAGAACTGTAAGAAATGTTTTCCCACCATATCACCGGACAGTATTATTTTGTCCACTGTGGACACAAGAACAAGTTCGATCTTTTACTAATAAATAAAAGGAAATAATTTGACTTGTACCATGGGTTTAATTCATAATTATGATGACTTAGCACTTCCAAATATGCTATATTTGCACTGGGGGAGAATTTCTTATTGAAGTAATAATATTATACCCAAACTCAAACTCGGACCTGAATTCGAAGTTCTACAGTGTAATTAGGCTCTAATGAGAAGCGCTAGTCGGAAAAAATCATATATACTCATTAAGCATAAGCAATTTCATGAAATACTACATATTGTATTATTTATGTAATATATTTATTAATATATAAAATATAAACAAAAATATTGTTTCCTAAAATATCTCTTATTCCAATGTTTATATTTATATATTTTTTAAATTTTTAATTGATAAATTCAAAATATACCATATATCGCGGTGCAATTAATTCTATTTCCAAGTTTGGCCTATTTAAAAAAAAAAAAAAAAATCCCATAGAAAATGTTAACAACATTGTAATAAATAGTATTTGAATGATTCTTCATATCTCCACGATAATTTATTTCAAACCTTGCCATGGACGGTCTCATCTCCTGTATCCAAAATTGGCGTTATTTTTTTTTTTCCCTAAAGGTTTTTGATTGATGTTTGCTGTATAAGGTGGAAGCAATGGCCAATGCATTAGCAAATAAAATAGTGTATGGATAAACTTAATAGTTCGACGCCCTGTCTCGGGTCGCGGGGCGGAGATGCCCGCCACGTGAAGAATTAAAAAAATAAATTGTTTTGAATATTATTTGTTTTGGACGTTTTTCGTTTCGAGTGCTTAATTTGGATATTAATGTAGTTAGTGGAGTGGCGTGGCGTGGCGAGGCGGGGTGGAGGTGCCCCGCCCCGAACCCCGTCCCATTGCCATCACTAGTCGTACACCATCTCCATCTTTTTATGACAGGTAGAATTCGAATTTCAAAAAAGCAAACAAAGATGCTAAGAATTGCAATTCGCTTCACATCAAAAATTTCACCTTTCGTGAGAATGGTGGTGCAAGAGGTCTAACGTTGAAAATTAACTCAAAAGACATGATGAATCAAATTTGTTGCATATATTTTGGTCTAAAAATACGTTAGCATCGTTGCGTTACGACTTGTTACACACGTCAACATGAAAATAAATCATCGAAAACGGAAAATATACAAATGAGAAGAAGAAATACATGTAAATTAAGTAATTGAACAAAAAGACAATGCCATTTCGGGTAAGGTTGTTCTACTGCAACTCCTTTGTACACGAGTGTTATTTTTCGCAATGATAATCTACTCGACGATTTTTTATTTTTTCTTTCATACATGTAATTATTAGAATGTAAATAAGGATTAGTTAAGTGATGATGATAGAGAACGATCAGTAATTAATTGAATGATTATAGGGAGTTAAGTGATTTGATGTTTTTTAATTATACTATCATGTTACAGTATAAATGGAAAATAAAAATATTTTGAATATTTGATTTTCAATTTTTCTCATCTTACCAGTAATATTTTACTTATAAGTATTTTTTTAATTATAATATAATTTTTTAAATTATAAATAATTTCATAGTTAATATATTTTTATTTACAACTTAGTTTTGAACAAAATATATTGATTGGAAATAATTATTTTATAAAAGGTAAAATTAGAAGAATGTGTGAAAAACGGCTAAAATCCACCAATTTGGTGGATTGAGAGAACCGCTCAAAATTACACGATCCAAAATCGGTGTCCAAAAAAAACTAGCAATCAACGATTTTTTAAGATTTGATATTGTAGTAGGCACATATAAAAAAATTGAGTATAATTTGCAAAAATAAAAAATAAAAAATTTGGATACTACAACTGAAATTAATCTTTTTTTAATTTTGGCATTTTTGTTGTTTTTAACCGTTAAATTAACGAAATTGGACGGCAAGGAGGTTTTTCGCACAGAAGGTTTCAGATAGAGACATTTTATCAAATTTTAATAGGTATTGAGTATAACTCACATCGTCAAGCCTTTGTTTGGTAGAAATTTTAATTTAATTCAAAACCAACAATTAATATTAACAAGATATTTTATAAGATTCAAACTTTTCAACCATATATTTTATCAATTTTTATCAAAATTTTAGTTTTAATTCCACTAAGCGGGACTGCAATTCCGTTATGTCGAGTGAGCATTTTGGTCATTTCGTTT